TTTGGTATGCTACAATGTGTGGGCAGGCCAGGATTGGGCTGGATCCCTTAGAGCAATAAAAACATTATTATTAGACATTTTTTGCGTGTTTTTTGTGACAAATGTGTAATTGCAGGAGTTAATAGTGTGACAATTTGCCCTCAAAACTGAACAATGGTGAGAAGAATTTATAAAGACGTGAGTACTCAGAACCCAAAAACAGTGAAGTTTGCAGGGAGAGGCAGATCCAGATGTGTTAACAAGATTCAGTGATTCCAAATAATCAGAGATCTGAAAATGATGAGGATGGAACAGAAACGTATCAGACCAGACAGCATCATGGTTCAAATTGTAGTGAACTCGGCCTCCGACCAAAACCTGCCTATGAGGACCTTCATGGGACAGGAACTGTTATTTCATTGATTTGAATCCAGAAATACAAATTAGCTCATCCAGAGACTGTCTAATTGTATCTTGAAGTAATCAATTGAAAGAATACTCTTCTTTTATATTATCATTACTATTTTACAATATCTTGATAAATCACAAGTGGGTTTAGTTCATATAGTTCATTATTCTCGCTATTCTGAATAGCAGTTTATTCTCAGGTGTGGTGCCAAAAACTTTTAAACATGCTGCTGTCCAGCCCCTCCTGAAAAAACCTAACCATGACCCCTCAGTCATGTCCAACTTCTGGCCTGTCTCCAGACTCCCATTCACCTCTAAACTACTGGAAAAAATTGTGGAGTCTCAGTTGAAACAGGTTTTGGGAGATCACGCTATCCTAGAGTTATTCCAATCTGGCTTCAAATCTCTCCATAGCACTGAAACTGCTCTACTGAAGGTTTTTAACGACATTTTCATATCCACAGACGCAGGTGATTCGGTACTGCTTGTCCTATTGGACCTTACATCTGCTTTTGACACCATCGACCACAAGATCCTCATTTCTAGACTGGAGCAGTGGGTGGGCATCACAGGGTCAGCCCTTAAATGGTTTGGGTCCTACCTCTCTGACAGAACCTTCTGTGTCAATATCAAAGATTTTAGTTCGGCATCGACAGCGCTCCAGTGGGGGGTACCACAGGGGTCCATCCTCGGTCCCCTTCTCTTTTCTTTATACCTGCTGCCACTAGGTGCTATCTTCCGCAAACACAACATACCCTTTCATTTCTACGCCGATGATTGCCAAATTTACTTCCCCCTGAGGCACAGAGGCACACGCTCTATTCAGCCTCTTCTTGACTGCCTGGCTGACATCCGGGACTGGATGGCTTTAAACTTCTTAAGCTTCAATGAGAAGAAGTCTGAAGTCATGCTGTTCCATCCCAGTGGCTCACTCATGAACCATGACATTGACCTTTTCTCTCTAGCCCCGCTAGAGAAACAAAAGGTCACTAATCTGGGGGTGATAATGGACCCGTCCTTAAAACTCAACAGTCACGTAAACATGATGGTCAAATCCTGTTTTTTTCAGCTGAGATGGCTGTCTAAGCTGAAGCCTATACTCTCCAAAAAGAACCTTGAGACAGTGATCCACGCCTTCATAACATCTAGGCTTGATTACTGCAATTCACTTCTGTTTGGAATCAGTCAGTCCTCCATTGCTCGTCTACAACTGGTCCAAAATGCTGCAGCCCGATTTTTAACTGGTACAGGCTATAGAGAGCACATCACGCCAGTTTTGGCCTCCCTGCACTGGCTACCCATTCACCTTCGGATCCAATTCAAAATTCTCATGTACGTTTTTAAATCACTGAACAGTTCCGCCCCATCCTATCTCACTGATCTTCTGCAGCCATATGTCCCACCGCGCTCTCTGAGGTCAGCAGACCAGATGCTTCTCTCAGTCCCAGAAACCCGTCGTAAGCTCAGAGGTGACAGGGCTTTCTCTGTTGCAGGTCCACGACTGTGGAATGAGTTGCCACTGAGTGTCCGGCAGGCTTCCACACTCTCAGTCTTTAAGTCTCGCTTGAAGACCCACTTCTATTCTCTTGCCTTTAACACGGTGTGATTTGTTTTGGTCCGGTCTGTACTCTACACTGTTGGCCATTTTAGTTAGCTTCTGCTGCTATTTGTATCTGTATTTCTATTTTATGTTTTCCTGTCCGCTGTGCATGTTTGTTGTTCTGTCTGTACAGCACTTTGGTTGGCCTTGTTGCTGTTTTAAGTGCTCTATAAATAAATTGGTATGGTATGGTATGGTATGGTATATCATTTCTAAATGTTGAAGTGAACCACTCATTTTAAATCAACTGTGAAACAGTATTAATGATTTTTTTACACCTCATTTAAATTAGAAATCAAGTTAAATGTCTATTTACAAAGTAATTATGCATTTTGATCTTCTTTCTGAATGAGAAGTAATGATGTTGGTCGAAAGTCAGACAGTCAGAAAGGAGTTATTAGAACAAAGTGGATTGTTTTTAAACCTAGCAGACAGTAAATAAGAAGCAACTGGCACCTGCTTGCTCTCACTTCTTCAAAACATGTCTTCTGTCTGTACTAAAAGTTCCTAAAACATTCCTGCTGTTTTCTTGACTTGTAATGACCCTCTGACATCACTAGAACCACCCCCTGTTGGTTGTTTCAACCAATCAGGAAGTCCTGAAGTGACCGGAAGTGAGAACTCTTTAAAAGTCCACACTTCCTGGAGTCTTCAGTCTTCAAGTGGGTCTCTGATGAAGTCTAGTCTTGAACTCAGTCTTCTGAGTCTTTGATGGATTCTCCCACATCTGAGTGGAAACTCTGCCGGACGGACAGTTTGCTGTGTATCCACCCGGGAGATGAGCGTGTTTGTTGAACGGAGTAAGCGGCACGACTCCTGACATGGCCAGCCGCTCTTACTGGAGACGCTGGAAGATAGCGTTGAAATGCGCCCGACACCGGAGCTGATTAAGTTCTGCAAAGGTAACGAGTCTTAACGCACCAAGTGTACCGGAGGTTTTGCACTGGTGTTGCACTGCCATTCTGCAGTCCAAACAGACACCCCCCTTTTTATCCATCTTTTCTCTCCATTTAAACTCCTTCAATCCTTCCTTTAAAACTCTTCTATTTTGCCAGTAGTCTAAATGCCTTCAGAAATGTCCTGTTGTCTTATTAAGTAAAATGTGCCAAGTTTTATTAATCAGAACCAGATCAGCTAATCACTTGTACATGTTTTCATGTTAAATTTTGATTCTGTTAAATAAATGACCACATTTATTCTGATGGGTCAAAGAAAATTAACGTCTCATGTCACTGATTTAAACAATCATCACAGTTATCTCGTCACATGGCAGTAATTTAACTCAAAAAAGAGAGAACCCGTTATATTTAAATAATTGTAGTGGAGGTGTAGCTAAGCTGGCCCTTGTCACACTACAAAATGGCCCAACGAGCCCGGCATGGTGGACCAACTGCAGTTTGAATTGGACTGAAGGGAGCTCCAGCACCCCGGTGCAAACAAATCACTCCAGCTGCTCTCATGTTGAACAGGTGCTAGGTCCAGAACCAACAGGCAGAAACAGGTAATCCACATCAAAGAACAAAGACGCTGACAGAAAATCCACTCATTCTGGAAGGCATGGTCCTGGCTCGGTTCGGATCAACAGAGATCTCCAGATGAGAAATAAAACCTTCAGGTAGAGCCCTTCGCGGGTTCAGGGTATATTCAAACAGAGTTCAAAGAGATAAACAGACTGTACCAACAGTGTGATCCGGAACAGATCTTTCTGCTGACCAGCTTTGAAACCAGTGGTCCCGTACCGATCCAAATTAATCCAGGTGAGTGCAGAAAGAAGATCAGCAGAATTCCAATGCAGACGCCGGCCTTCCTTCAAGCAGGTCCTCCTCAGTGCTTCCTGGCACGAGATGCTTCATCCAGGTGAACAGTTGTCAAACTGACCATAGAGGCTGGAGCCATCCTTGGCTCGGTTCTGTTCTGGTCCGGTTCCGTCAGACTCCTCTGCGACTGACAGAAAACCCCACAGAGGTGGCCAGTCCTTCGGTGAGAAATATAGGGCTGCCCGCTGAGGCTGAAACCTGCTCGGTTCGGGTCAACTTCACCCACAGCCCGGCTCAGTTCTGTTCTGGGCCGGTTCCGTCAGCCTCCTCCTCTGCCAACAGCAAGCCCCATGGAGGTTGTCAGTCCTTTGATGAGAAGTATCGGGCTGCCCACTGAGGCTGAGACCGGCTCGGTTCTGGTCCTGTTCAGGTCAACTTCCCCCATGGCCGACAGCAGACACCCACGAGGATCCAGTCCAACAGAAAGCCAGCACAAAACCATACAGCAATCCCAATCGGAACCGAGCAGAACCATAGAGGTCCGGATGGAAAGTCTGGTTGGAGTTTGGAGAAAAAAAATGCCAGACCTTTGGACAGCATCTTCCCTGCTTGAGGGGCCACCTGGCCGGCAGGCTGCACTCAGAGTGACCAATGGGTTGGAAGCGTTCCAGGTTCTGGACCAAAAAATTTCCCAAGTGGTCCCGTTCAGCTCTCTGAGTCCACTGAACACCGAAGTCGGTTGGAAGAGGGACCAAACTTTTAGTCTGGTTCGAAAACGTGTCAGTTTGATGTTACAGGACTGCAGAGAAGCCAGGGGAGCAACTGGGAGAGCTGCCGTCCTTCAGCTTGCTTGAAGTGCAATGATTATTATAAGTCAAAAAAGTCCATGCTCAATATTGTCATCTGGACGGTTTCTTTTTTTGCTGAAACGTTGTATACCTGGATTATTGAGCATGGACTTTTTTGGTTTTGAACCAGTTTGACATGACTGTCGACGAGGAAGAGGGCCGGCAACTGAGGAGGGGGCGTGCCAAAGACACCATCTTAGCACCAACATAACTGGTTTGTTCCACTTTGGAGTAAGCTGTTGGGGGAAGAATCAGTTTTGTTGTGTGTTTCCTTGACTGATGAAGCCTTCTGGATGGAAGGTGAAACGTTTCAGAAAAAAAAAAAAAACTTTCCAGATGACCTGACTGAAAAATGTTGGATTATTAGAAGTATTAAATTATAGCAACTGAAGTTCACACAAAGCTCACCATGACCCAGTCGACCATAGTTCCCTCTGCCCCATGTGAAGAGCTCTCCATCAGATGTGATAGCAGCGCTGTATGTGCTCCCACACGCAACATGCACCACATGCTTTCCATTCTGTTTCCCACTGAAGGCTGCAATCATTGTAGGCTCTTCAAGATAACTGAAACAAAAATTAAAAAAAAGGAAAAAGATATGGCAAGTGTAAAAGACTTTTGGAAGACCTCACAGGAACTTTCCAGATCACAATGAAAAGTAACTACTTATTTTACATGATTTAAACAGTAACAGATTTTCATTCCTACTCAAAATGCAATCAGTTCTTCCAAGGTGGAAAATCTTTAAAAGCCAAAGATTTTCGAAGACTCAAGTTGGCGCCGATGATGTAGGCTGTCTCGGAGAACTCCCGTCAGGCATGACGGAAAACTAATTTTTATAATTGCATTCTCTCCACCTTTGGGCTGGATTCTGTTTCTGATACTGGTATCGCCGCAATACTGAACCAACAAGCTGGTAATATGGCCTCTAACCGTGGTTAATTTGAGCCGGATCCTGCTGGAACAAGATCCGGGAACTTTCTCATTTTGATCTGTTCTGTTAAGTTTTTGATGGGATCCAGCAACTCCGCCCATAAAAGTTCAAAGTCATTGCTCATTTTTATTTTGATTATTTATTAAAAATACAAGGAGAGGAGACGTTGCCCTTTAGCCCAGCGGACCCAGTCTGTGGAGTGGATGTTCCAGTCACAGCATGCGCGGTGAACCAGCTGCACGTTCCTTCGAGGAGCAGGAGAGGAGCCTCTAGGCAGGGGGGGTGAGGACGGAGGGACAGATGGTCTTACGCACAGAGGTTCTGCGCGGAGTCCTGGTCTCCTCCTCCTCTTCAAATATTGTCCCTAAAGTGGGGCTGCGCACTGAAAAACACCCCCTCTCCCCTTCTCTTAGACCCCAAAACAGAAACTATCATTTATTCAACAGAATAAATAAATGCCCTGTGGACAGTGCACATTATGCACAGAATCATCTCCAGACAGCTCTAGCGCGCGCACAACATCAGCAGGTGTCTGAACTCCTGCTACATTTCAAACATAATAAATAGAAAAAGCTTACTGTAAAAAATAAATTAAAAATACAAAGAGAGAAATGGTTGATGTTATTCACATTATACATCACGTTTCAAAACAACGACGCTACTTTGTCAAAATAACAGCGATCAAAATGTCAAAAAGACATTCCAATTTACTGGATGGATGGATGGATGGATGGATGGATGGATGGATGGATGGGTGGGTGGGTGGGTGGATGGACGGATGGATGGATGGATGGGTGGGTGGGTGGATGGATGGATGGATGGATGG